TCTATTGCAGCTGGTCCGCACTGGCGCATGCCGCCTCTTGCCTCCCTCCCGGTGCCCCTTGCTCCAACCTCCCACTCATCGCCGGCTGCCTCCTTCCACCTCCCATCGGTATCGTCTGTTTGCTCACTTCCCACCCGGCGTCCTCCTGCATCTCACTTGCACCAACAGCTGTTGGGCTACTCACTGATTCCATACCAAAGGTAATAATTTTTTTGGTTAGGTTTAATTTCCATATATTTGAAAAGGATACTACAACTTGAGTTTTTGTGTGTTTTCAATTTCATAAGTGGGATTAAAGGAAAAGAAAGGAAGTGCAAAAGCATGCATGGAAAATAAAAAAATGTTGATTTGGGGACCAAGTGACGGCCTTATACAAGTCTTCCTTGGTGCCACCACGTCATCCATGGCTGAAGCAAAGAAAGAGTTCAAGCAGGCCATGTTATGAAATCTAGATCGACCTACAAAAGACAATTGTGACTTTGAATGACCACATACAAGCTCTATTTTAGGTCCTTGAGTACTTGATGCAAATCTGTTGGAGTCCTCTTTTCAATGGACCACCTTAGAACCAAATTTCATATAACTCAACCGTAATGGAGGAAACAAAGTGTTGTACCACCAATCATGGGTCTACGGGCTTATGACTTCGTCTGAAACCCCAGAGGAGTGTGCCTAACCCGGTGAAGTATGGCCCTAGGGACTCGTTGGTAGTCCTCACACCTCCTTAAATAGCTAGATACCCTTTCAGGGTTTCTCGGGTTTTGTTTAGATTATAGTTTAGTCATTACTACTTTCTTTGTAATTGTGTGTTTTGGCCAGATCATCTAGTTACTCGATTTCTGAAACCACCTTTGGGAGTGTTTTATTCGTCATGAGCTTTAATTCCTATTTGCAATTTAGACTGTGTTTATCTTGTTCTTGCTTGTTTTTCGATTTTTTTGTAGGAACAAGGTATCAGGGGCGGGCCCAGAATTTTAAGGTTGGGTATTCAAAATAAAGAGGGGGAAATATTTCTACACTCAAAAATCCTAATAATTGGCTTATATAATAGGCAAAATTTATTACAGGACACTCAAAAAACGTGTAATTGGCTGTGAGACATCGCAAAAACGTGACGCGGCTGATAGACACTACAAAAATTATGTAATTAGCTGTAGGACACCGGAGGCAATATTTTATAATTTCCGAGTCAAAAGAGGTAAGAAATTTTTCAAAATGGCGAGATTGCCCCTGGCACCTCACCTCTCCTCTCCAGCTCGCTCGCCTGTCACGGAGCGCCGCCGCTGCCTCTCGACCGCGGGCGCCTCCTGCTCCCACAGCGCCAGCTTGCCGCTACCGCCGTTGTCACGAAGCGCCGCCGCCGCCTCGCGCGCGACCGCCTCCGCCTTGCCTCCGCCTAGCCTTGCGTCCTGCAGGAGAGCAGCTGGATGAGGCGGTGCCAGAGCTCGAGCCGCTCCGTGTGTGAGACCTGATCCGCATGGACGACAAAACGCAGTACATCGCCAACTACAGCATCGGCGACCCGCCGCAGCCGGCGGAGGCCATCGTCGACACCGGCAGCGACCTCATCTAGACGCAGTGCTCCGCCTGCCGCCTTCCCGCCACCGGTGGCTGCTTCCCTCGTTACCTCCCCTACTACAACTCCTCCCTGTCGCGCACCGTCCGGGCGGTGCCGTGCGACGACGGCGCCCTGTGCGGCGTCGCGCCAGAGAAGGCAAGGTGCGCGCGCGGCAGCGACGACGTGTGCGTGGTCGTGGCAACCTACGGCGCCGGCGTAGAGCTCAGCGTTCTGGGCACTGACGCGTTCACGTTCCCGTCGTCGGGGACGACGGTGACCCTCGCCTTCGGCTGCGTTAGCCAGACGAGGATCTCGCGCCGGGAGCGCTCAACGGCGCCTCCGGCATCATCGAGCTCGACAGCCAGCTCAACTCCAAGTTCTCCTACTTCCTGACACCCTACTTCAGAGACACCATCAGCCCGAGCCACCTATTCGTCGGTGACGGCGGCGCGGCCTGGGCGCTGGCGGCGGCGCTCCGGTTACATCCGTGCGGCACCATCTGTATCCTCAGCTCCTCGCTCAACACGACGTGGATCCTTTCACGGCAGTAGTTCACCACCTGCACAGCAACACAATGCCACGGAATCAGTCAAATTAATCCTGAGGTTGGCTGCGCCACCAGTGACCAATCCGGACGTTTCGGATCGTTCCAAGCACATGCTTACCTCGGCGTTGCCGTGGCCATCGAAAACGCTGAAGAGGTGGGCCGGCAGCCGGAGTGCGTCGGCGTCGAGGCCCAGCCCGTCCAGGTCGCGCACCTGCGCCGGTTAGTGAGCAGCCGCACCGGCACGTCCGCGAACCGCGGCACGGCGGCGCACGCGTCCTTCATCTCCGCGCTGCGGCCGCGCGTCGACGCGTGGCCCCACACTGGCGCGCAGTCCATCAACTAAACGCTCCTCTACCCCGCCCCCGCCGCCGCCAGCACCCAGGCCGACACGATGCGAGATTCGGCGTCTGGGGTCGTGGTCAACATGTTCAACGCCTTCGAGGCGTCAGAGCTGGGCAAGATCGAGGCCAAGCTGTCCAAGTCAACCTTCGCCGTCGGGCCGCTGCACAAGCTCACCACGGTGAGGACGGCGGCGGAACAGTACCGCCATTTCGTGTGCCTATACGGTCCGGACCGCGCCTGGCTGGACGCGCACCCGCCGCGCTCCATGCTGTACGTGAGCGAGCTGGAGAGGAGAGGTGAGGTGCCAGGGGCAATCTTGTCATTTTAAAAAATTTCTCACCTCTTTTGACTCGAAAATTATAAAATATTGTATCCGGTGTCCTACAGCTAATTACGCAATTTTTGTAGTGTCTATCAGCCGCGTCACGTTTTTACGATGTCATAGCTAATTACACGTTTTTTGAGTATCCTTTAGCAAATTTTGCCTATATAATATCACAAACTAATAAGACATATATAACACAAAATTGAGCATAAGTTCATGTATATAGAATTTTTGGTTGGGTAAAATGGAGTGAATCAATTGTGCTAATGGGCCAACAAAGAAGGGGAGGACACGGCCTAAAAAGGATGGTTTCTTTGCTTGATGGGTTGTTTGATGTCTTTTCTTTAAATTTTTTAATATACATATAAAATATATAGTATATATATATCTATTTTTTTGCCAAAATTCTTGGGTATTTAATTTGAATACCCTTGAATTGTTGTAGGCCTGCCCCTGCAAGGTATATCTGTTTTTGTAAAATCAACAACCCATAGAGAGATGTATTAGTCACTAAAGCGCAATACAACATCTAACATCTAGTACGATTATAGTTTGGTCATCAACTTCTCTCTCTCAAATAATAGTTATCTTTAGCTCACTGTAAGGTCGGGCCACCCCTACTCATATCACAAACCCGAAGGATGGTAAGGGTGGTGGTGTGTAGGAGTGACGGCATGGGCTTGAAGGTGGCAAGCACCTCCTCCATTGTCGCATGGATCTAGCGTACGCACCCACTATGATCGGCCTGTCACCACCCCTCATCATCATTGATTCATCTCCTACCTTCTCATCCTGGTATAGAGAGGGAAATGGGTTGGGGAAGCGAGTCAGAGAAGAAGGGCAATAGTAGTGCCATGTCAACAAAGTGGCAAAAATAGAAAAGAAAATAGCGGGACCAATGCTTATCTTAACTACTTAATCTGGTAACTTTCCGATCGTTCTAATATGCTTATGTCCGTCTCAATCCTCTTTTGCTCCCTTCGTTTGTCCCAACACTTGCAAGGTGTTTTTTCCTCACACGTTATCCCCACATGAAGCGTTTCCTTTGCATTCTCTGAATCGGAGACAGGAAAGCAAGATGTGTTCATTAAGTGATAACAACACAATAATTCAATAATCAATCTTATAAAAGAACTTCCCAAAATTAGAGTTTCATAGCTTGAATACAACCAATGAAGCAAATCGGATACACCACACCACAAGACAAGAACAATAAACAAAGCCAATAAAAGACAAAAGTTGAAGCATAAACACATGAACAGATTCAAAAAAAACTCTTTAAAAAACCCAATCTTTGGCCTACCTCGCAGCAAACACATGAACAAATCCAAAAACCCCTTAAAAACCCCAATCTTTGGCCTGCCTCGCGGCAAACCAATAGCGATTGTAATCCCCATGGCGAGCAAATTGGAAAAGCACAAAAGAGGCAAAGATCCCCATGAAAACCACAAATTTTCAAGAAGGACAGATCCTCTCACAACCAAGGCATTCAGGGAGAAGGAAAGACTGCGACCTATTGTTTTCTTCTAGCCATCTCGCCGTGGTGGGGAAAGAAGAATCATGGGAAGCTCGAGGTCAAGTGAGTGCGAGATGAAGGGAAGTAAAAGAAGGAAAACCGGATTCAGGTGATCTGATGGCCACGAGCTCGACTTGAAGGACGGCTCGGCAACACCACTACCCCTTCCTTCCAGCGGAGAAGCTTCAATGAGGAACACGTGGGAACGCGTGGCAAGTAGTAGGTGTTTTCCTACTCCATTTAGAGTGGAGGCTTGAAGGCTGGAGCACATGGATGATTTCAAAATATAAAGAATTTTAGGATTGAACACAAGTATTAAGGAAGTTGATGAAATTTAATTGAAAAATGTTACGATTGGTTAAAATGAGAAAGTAGATGAAAATGTAGCCGCGATGAAGCATCCAGTTATCCACTCGATTACTCGTGATTTGGAGGCAGAGATTAATCTATGCCCATTGCAATTAACCCGTCGCCTGTGATCCTTTTCTTTTTTTCCCCCTTGGTCTTGGGAGATAAGAAAATGATAAGTAGCCTTGTGGGATGGGAGGGACCAACTACTGAAGGATCTGAGCCATAGATCGGCAATCGGGAGCACGTATGGTCCCTTCTCCCTCTCCAAATCAGCTTGTGTTCCACATATGGAACTTCTGAATACTACTGATTAGTTCGCATAAATAATTAACTTTCACACAAGAAAGTATGGAGAGTTAGGAACGAAAATACCCTTTTATGCTAACTAAGTACACAGCCAATAATGATGCATGTTTACTCCTTTTCTGTACCAGCCAGATAACTGTCAAACAATCAATTCAGGCATTTTGCATAAAAAAGCTATCTTCTCCTTTGAAGCTAATGTCTGTATGAACTATGAACATAGCGCAACAGTTCTGAGTCAAAGTCATTATCTACAACATTATCTTCACAAGATGAATGGACCACGGTTTATCAGAGATCTGTGTGAAGTAAGAACAGAGCAAAGGATCACTGATCGACCATAAGTGAATCAGCCTATCAAAGATCAGAGCTACAAAACTGATTGCCATTTGATTTCTATTTCCTTCACAGTAAGCAGTCAAGAAGAATCAATTGGATTTCCAACAGGTAGTGACTGCTATGATAATAGGAGTTAATCTGTAGTAAGGAATCTATCTTGCCTTTGAATCAAAAAATAACATCCGTGATTGTAGTTAGCCTCATTCCTGTACCTCCAACCAAGGTGGATGGTCCTCCACCTTGGTCTGTGGAGGAAGGGGCTTCCAGCCTGGTTTCTCATCCCAGTACATGTCATAATATATGTGCCCTATTTCACGGAGCTGCACACAGCACCATAGGCCCACATATCTCTTTACTCGATTCCGAAATTTCGTGTCCACAGCCTGGTTTAAACAATAAAGTTACTATGCATCCTTTTATTCAGAACTAGCACAAAATTGTTGAAGACTGGAAGCTTACTGCATCAGAAAAACCTCCGAAGGCGTTAACCATAGATGAGAACTGTAAGATTTTGATATCCTTATATGGTTTGAATATATCCAAAAGCTGAAAAAAAAATAGCAACTTCAGAATATGATTTTTCCATAAGATACCAAAAGATAAAGCAGACCTTGCAATAGGCAATGGCTGCTACTAGGAGTATAGGAATCCTACTCTATGTTCCACAGGGTATGCCGTTTCCTCTTATCTGAGGTGTGTATATGTCTCGATATACCTTTATGTTTAGTGATTTTTAATGACGGGTGTGTTCGGATGTGATTGCTGCAGCGGCTTTCAACTACTGCGGCTGCAGCAGCTGCAGCAGCAATTGCAGCTGATCAAGGCATGATACCTCTTGTCTGGTGACTTGTTGGCTTGTCGCACACATATTTCTTAATAAAATTGGAGTCTTGTCTCAAATAAAATGTTCATGTTTGCGAACTTCAAAATTACAGCATTAATTCTGAGTTTGCATGATATGCCTTTTGCTCCAGTTCTCACTTTAGCTTGAGTTTCCTTTTTCTAAAAATCCTATAATCTGGGTACTAGTATAGTTCCCTCATGTTGTGACAAATAAGTATCCTCTAATCTAAATGTTGTATATTTGTATGCATGACCACATGAGAGATAAATTAGGCATGCATAATGTGCAAACAATGCCATTTACCGTTTGTTCTGTGCTATTCCTTGGTAAGAGAACAGGCGCGCCTTTATTGGTTCTATTAGTTGTTGAGCATCTGGTGCTATGCTCATTGCAGAGCTCAACCTCAAGAAATGATTCTTTGACCTATGCAAGATGCAAAACAATAATTATTAGAAGGCAAACCCACCTTTCTTACTACCAAATATTCATAGTGAATTGTTAAAACAAGTACAATAATAACATTACCTGTTTAGGCAATGATGGATTCTCAAGAAACGAGTATTCTCTAAAATCAATGTGTGGGCCAAACTCCTCCTTAGGTAAGTCCTTTAGCATAACATGTACCTGTAGAATTAAATCATCGTAGTAGGAATGTTAGCTTCATACTGGATCCACCTGTGGACTTCTCTGGCCTGTTTATTATGTAGTGCAAAATACAAGACAACTTTATTTGTGTTGCTGACCAGTTGGTATGAAACGCCATCATTAACACTATTCTATCTGCTTATAAATATCTAGCATTTCACCAAAGCTTTGTTCACATATTTGTCCTTTTCAACTTCCCTATGCAAATTTCCCACAGTATCCATGCTCATTTTACCCACAAAAAACCATAAGTTGACCACACATCATTTGTTATTCCTGTGATGGTAATCCGGTGGTACTTTTGCTATATTTATGAAAAATATTAATGGCCCGATATGTCAATTTTTATCTGCACATTGCCACATTCTGAGGGTGGTTGCAAAATAATGAATAACGCATATCAGTACAGTAACCAGATCAGCAATAATATGTTGAAAAGAAGTTTTCAGTACATAGCACTGTGGTCTGGTCTAAACTCCAAACCACCAAAGCTTGGACAATAAAAAGCATGGCAAGCTTCAGCCACCTGCCACCTGGATACATCTAAAAAAAATGACATCTAAAATTCTAAAACTACAGAGAATTTCCAAAAATCTAAGGTATGCTGACACATATAACATGAAATCCCAGTTATATAATTTACTTTAACTTCACTAACCATATATACTTTTGAAAAAAAAAATGTGATGAATTTCCTACAAAATATGATTCATACAACTAAGGAAACTATTTCTCTAACCAACTAATAGTATGTCATATAATATGAAAAATAGTAAATAATGTTATGATAACAGAAATGAAAAAAATTCCCAGTGTAATCACCTCAAAAACATGATCCATTGGACAGAGGAAAGGTTGTCTGGTCATTGTTCCTTCCAAAACTCCAGGATGTCCAAACCACATCCTATCAAGCCTGCACCATAATGGAGGCATTACCTAAAAGTACAAACAGTAGTCAGAAATTGGGTGTCCACAAGTTTGAGCACAATACATCGAACAGCGTAATTCTGCTCTCAAACACCTCCAGAAGTTATCTAAGATAAAAACTTATCCTCAAAAAAGCAAGCATGAAGCACCTACCATACATTACTACTCAACACCTCAATACTCACTAATTAGCTGCAGCTTACTCATTTAAGGATAAATGCACTTTTGCAAGTTGTAAATTTTGTATCAAATTAAGATGGTGCACACATCATCAGTAAAGACAAAATTAACATCTAAAAGATAAGAACATATTAATAATCATTTCAACCTTTTAACATATAGAAAGTTTATGGAAAGAGATCACATTCAAGAAATCGAATTGCAGGTTAAATCAATCTCAACTAAATGTTTACACTTAATGATCTGCATGTCCACTACCTCACAATCACGAATAGTAAGTGTGTAGTATTCACACTACCATCATGGAGTTCAAATCAAACTAGAAAAAGAATAGAAATTCCACTGACCAGGGTCCTCTTTAATAGGGAAGCAATAGCGAGTGCAGTTCTTATTTGCTTCAACTGAAAATTTTCAAGCACATGACTAATCAGGAAAAAGAAAAGGAATAACCATCAATAACAGAAGTGCAGCCACAAATTTGCAGAAATATATGTGTAGCTGCAGATACCTGGTAATTGACCAATGCAAAATGAGATTTAACAGTATGAGCGCCATCTAACAGCAAGCTTTTAGGAATGTTGGGTCTAAATGATAGGAAACCTCCTGCATCATAATACCAGGTAAATTATGGACATGATGAAAAAAAGTAGTAAGTAAAGATTGTAGGATTCAAATCCGAATAATGTTATATGCATGAAAATAATTTCATGTGACCATCTTTTCATTCTTGGATCATATATGGCTACAGCCTACATGGTTTGTTTAACAGTGCTCCATTGGTAATTCTGAGATAACCCATACAGACGAAACATTTTAACACTAGGGTACATCATGGTCTTCAAACATAAAATCAGAAGGCATTTGTACACTAGAACACATCATGATCTTTAAACATGAAGTCATGAACCTCTGTCCCAAAGAAGTTCCGTCATGATAGGGTCAGAGAATAAACATACCTGGTGAGTCATAGTATGATGGCTGATCAAAGAAAAGCATTGCTTCACGCAATCTATGACGCTTTCCCACAGTACCTGCATACTGGAAAGTAGTATGCACAGCATATGGTTCTAGCCGAAGCTGCTGATACATGCCCTGGCAACTCAAGAAAAAAATACATTTCAGGTATAAACAACCCAAGAAAATTACAGAGAATTTTAGACGAAAGGGACAGTATAAACAAGATGCACAAAGTGTGTGAAACAAAAGAACAAGAACCAAACATATGCAGGACAACAAAGATAAAAAATGCAATTGCTAACTAACTGAAAATTTACTCACCAAAGAAAAATTTTGACATGCAAGATATTTAATTTGCCAATTTCAAACAAATAAGAGCAACTACCTGCACAAAATATGTATGACCACTACAGAATATACTTGCTGGTAGGACTCCAAGCTTCAGTTTCCCATCATAAGAATATACAAGTTCATCTTCTCCAACAACCGGGTATCCAAATTTTTTGTGTATAAGGTCATTAAAAGCATTCTGGTCCCACAACGTATCATCAGATAAGAGTAAGTCTTTCCAATCTTTTGCCAGCCTCTTAGCTGGTTCAGTGGGTCGCCAATGGAAAATACCGATATTGTATGCACCAGTAACTGTGCATAAGAAAGGGGGGGGGAAGGCAATATGTTAGGTTCAAATAGTAACTGCAATTGATGGTAAACAGAACAAAAAATCTTATTATACAGGTAAACAGGGAAAAAAAATATTATACAGGCAAACAGAAAATATTGGAGCAGATTTTTTAAAACATCAGAAAAATACAGTAACAAGAACATTAGTTCACATCAGGTTCTAATTCTCTAGGATTTGCTATTGCTGATACATATTGGAAGCTATATTCTACAGCAATTGTCTTCACCAACAGAAGTCCAATTCCAGAGTCATTCCACTGTAAATATTTAAAAATTAGTTCTATTCTCATAAGTTGAACTAAAATTAATTCCAAACTTTCAGAATTTAGTATCAAAAGGTCAAGAAAATTCATCTCAGTATTGTGCAGTTCTGATTTCCTGATCTTACAGCAGGGCAATGATTATTGTAGATAGATTAGCACTGGGAAATATCGAAAAATAGAGAATGCATCACACCATCTATCTCGTCACAACATATGACTTAGATAAGGTGCATTATTGCAAAGTGTAGATAATTCACCTTCCCTCCAGTTCTCCAGGCTGTCATCGGTGACCGTGGGAATGACCTGGTCGCTGGACGTGAGGAGATCCGCGTCAGGGTAGCGGGCGAGGTAGGGCAGCGGGTTCTTGAGCCACACCATGTCCGTGTCGCACATGAGCAGCTCGTAGCCGAAGGGCAGGAGCGCGTTGATGAGCAGCACCTTCTCCCTGCCCATCTTGTGGAAGGTGGGCGAGCCCCAGACGGCGTCCTCGGTGGCCATCCTGCTGCCCATGTCGAAGACGGGGACGCCCCTGAGGTAGAGCTCCCGGAGCAGCTTGGTGTCCATGGCGCCGACGAGGAGGCTGTCGACGCCGAGGTCCGTGAGGTGGCGCACCCAGGTGAGGATGAAGTCGAGGAAGGCGTGGTTGCCGAAGGTGACGACAATGGCGCCGCCGCGGGCGCGGGCGCCCACCATCTCGCGGGTGAGGCGGAACGCGCGCGGCGCGGGCATCCGCTCCCTCCGCGGCGGGGGCTTCCAGATGGGCCGATTGTACATGGTCTCCGGCTGCGCCACACCGGAGACTGCGCCCGAGAGGTTGGCGGCGGCGGCGGACGCGGGAGGGATGGGGAGCGGGGGCGCGGCGAGCGAGGAGAAGGAGGAGAGGAGGAAGAAGAGCGCGGAGACGGCGAACCCGCCGATGACGGCGCCGTAGATCCCGACGAAGACCGGCTTGGTCGAGTCGGCGGGGCACCACGGCGCCATCTCGCCGGCCGGCGGCGGCGGATCGTGGTCGCCGGAGAGGCAAGGTCAGCGGCTCACCGCTGCCATTGTCGGGAAAGGGGACTAGGGGAGGTGGGGTTTGAGACGAGACGGGAGTGGGCGGCGCCGGCGGGTCGGGGGGCCCACCTGGCGGTGGCTGCACGGTAAGACCTTACTACCGATGATCCCGTTACGGTGAAGGAATCACGATGGAAAAAGCACGCTCCCGTTTCGCTCGCCACTGTCGTGCGGGGCCCACTTGACAGTGAAAGCAAGTAGGGAGTGGATTTGTGTCTTCATTTCCACATGTTCATCCGTTGTAGTAGAGTATGACTGTCAACTCAATCAAGTACACTGTACGAGTGGTGTGTTTATGTAGGGCAAATGGCAATGTCCAAGCGTACGAAAAGGGAAAGATAAATGGATATTCATCTATGGGTGTGTTTGGAAGAGATTTTTTTGGCAGCAGCTGCGGCTGCAGTAGTTTAAAACGGCTGTAATCTGTAGCAGCAAAAATGGCTGTCAAACGAGGTCTATTTCTCTGTGCAGCTATGCTTCAAACGTCAAATAGGGTAATTTTAAGCTTGTCTAATCATCACGGTTTGCGCATTGAACGATTGAGAAATTCTTTTCTTTTTAGAAATATAATACAAACGCAGACATCCACAATGCGCGTACACTCACCCCTATGAGCACGCGCGTATAACCTACCTCTAAGCACTTCTGGAAGATTGGATTAGCATATCTTGAGATTAACAAAGTCACCACGAACCGGCGCCTCATTGTCGCCTATTACTGAAAGAACAATTAGCCATAAATACGAGCACCCGTGTTAAATCTAAATTTTAACTCTGGTGAGCTAGTTTCACCACAAGAAACCTAACCAGTTAAGATACGCTCACTTCGTGAAAACCTAGATAAATTTGGTGCGTCGTGGAATATAGTTTTCACCTAAAATATTGTTTTCTTTGAGCGGAATTTTGTTCATATTTCAGTACTAGTATCTTCTGTGGGCCAATTATTAGAGCTTATTAATATCTTTACGTTAAAAATACTCTTGAAAATAAGTTCTAGTTTTTAAAGTCCTTTTGAAGTAAATAACTATATTTATAATAATTAAAAAAACAGCCCTACAAAAATTCCCCATGTCATCTAAAACTAATCTAAATTCAAGCCAAAGTTGAAAAATGCACGATATTGAAACTTAAAAGTTGAATATTGTCTGGTTTAGAGTTAATTTTAGTGTTATTACATTTTTTTAAAACAAATATTTAGGATTGTAAATGAACTTAATTTTGTCATTTATGTCTTACCTGGTATACATTGAGATATACACCAAAATATTCGTGTTATTAGAGGGAGGGGAAATTTGCCAAGATTGATATGGACTCACTTCATTCACAAATTATCATCATATAAATTTTTCAGTGTTATTCAGAAATGATCAGTATATTTGGTACTTCCTACATGTGACTTTTTGTTTTCCTGTGCAGTATAAAATAATCAGTTGCATGTATTGTTCAATGTACTAACTAATTGTAATTGTGGTGCATGACTGCATGCATGCAAGCAATATCATTGGCGCATATTGCCCTTGAAGCATATATATAGGACACAAGAAATGGTGTTGCATGTTAATCGATGTCAATTTAAGTGACATGTGTAAGTGTGATGGTATCGATACACAAACCATATATGCTGATCATTTGTGAATAGTGGAAGTACAATTTATCAAGGATTTGTCCTTTTGCCACCACATTAAAAAAAAACAGAAAGTTCTAACTAGCTAGGTACTACATCTCTTTTCTAACTAGATACCAAGGGAGCTGCCAGAGATTTCTGTCGGGATAAGGTAGTAGCACTTTGTAAATGACCACCATCGAGCCATTCAGACACGCATAGATGAAGAAGATTTTAGCAATATCGTACAAACAGATTGGAACAGTCTATTCCTTAGACAGCTCTAGTTTTTTGTCTCCCATTTCTCATTCTGTTTGATGTGGAAAATTTGCAACAAGTCTTGTGGCTTTGTTCATCCGCAGATGATGCAAACCGGAATTTTAATTAAATTATCTGAAAAGCTACAAATTTTTTTTTGAATTTTATTTGTGCAATTTAAGAAATTCTAAACAAACATGGATGGACCGTGTCATTGTAGATTACTAGTTATCGTGCACATGTAAGGCATGTTTTGGTATTATGTACAATAAAAAAAATAGAATAATAAATGTACCTTTTTTATATAGAGCACTCCATACAAATTCTAAAGGTAAAAAAAGAGTATCATAGACCCTAGTAAAAAGCATGTGTTATGTGTACTCCTGGAGTGCCAAGCTGTGCACCATGTAAATTACTACGGGAGAAGCAAAGCAGCAAACCTTGTGTCCAAGATTGTGGATCTAATTCTAGACAATTCATTCAACATAGGAATAAATGTTTTTTCAAGAAGGTCCTCAGACCTACCCCGTAGCTTATATTGAAAGCCACAACGACAGGTTCGCTGGGATTACAAGGTTTACATGAGCTCAGAGCAAAAGGGAAGTCTCACATGGTCACACATCCCGACCAGCTAGGGTCACTTAAAGGATAGACAAACTAAACAAAAAGGGGTAAGAACTCCCATAGCAGAAATTGACAACTCTTACTTTAACACGGACTTCAAACTTTTTTTGGTAGGAAAAACATCATCCAACTCTTGATCTTGGTCGCAGCCTTGCTATTGCCCCTTCAGACGTGCCACCAGAGCCTCCATCTGCTTCTCCTTGGGGAAGGAGAGGTTTCCACTACATCAGTTGAGAAATAATTTGAAAAAGTTAAATTAGAAGGGAGTAAGCAATGTTATCTCTAAACACCATATCATTCCTCGTTAGCCACCAGGTTCACACAATTGCAGCTAATCAGCAAAGACACAACAAATTTTGTACAAATTTAAGGGAAAGAAAATTGTTCACCAGTTTGTTTTATTCGTTATTGTCCCCCAAAAAAATTGTAATAGATCTCTGATAGAAGAAATAGAGGCTTATATCATTTTATTTTGGTCTTAACCCAATTGTTAAAAAAATTACAGTTAGCATGATTGAAAACGACATTCTTGTATGTTTTTTCAGAAATGAATCTTAGCAGGATACCCAATTAAAGCTCACTAATCCCATGCCTTGAACTGCATATGGTAACATGCATGCTCCATGTCCCATGCAACACGCTGCATCTGGCTGACTATACAAAAGGACAATATGAAATTTGTTAAAAAAGTGTTTTTTAAATAGCACAAATAGAAGAGGCACAATCATCTGTTGTTACTCTGCAGTTGCTGCTAAATAGCCCTTCTGATTCCTGTACATAGCTTCAGATCCATTAAGCTTCATTTTTTATTCAGTACAAAAACGATTTTGAAAGAACACTTTAGATAGAAACATTGGTTTATCCCATGCGGCCTCTCGCCAAAGCTGAGTCGTGTAGCCAAAAAGATTGACCGTACAGAAAAACATGGTCACAAAGGTGATGTTTTGCGGCAAAGGGAAATTTAAAATGTTTAAAGAAGATAGTGTCACCAGAGATATGTTGCATCATAAAGTAAATCAGAGAAAAAAAACTTACAGCAATTCACACAAAATGAATACAATTTCCTCTTTTAGACTCCAAAAATTCTTAATGCTTTTTCTGCACTTCACGTTTGCTCAATCTTTCAACACACAAGCTCTTTGAACATGGCTCTGAAGCTGAAGCACTCACTTCGCTGTGCAAAACAGGAGAAAGTGCTTTAGCAAATCACTGGGCAACAGTACATCCACATAGGAGGCCATTAGAGCAACTTTGCACATAAGGGATCAATAGATGTGTATATTCCTAAGCATTGTTGTTGGCACCCAGCTTGAACCAACTATTGTGCTAATTTAGCCAAAAAAGGATTGATCCTTGGGAATCAAAAAGTCTATCAGGCTTGATAGGTTTGTCTGAATTAGTCGAGGGTGCAGACTGCAAGTTACATGATGTTATGATGTTGAGGTGAGATCGATTTAAATTAATAATGAGACACAACCTGTCCTGAGTCAACTGCTTCTGAAATTCATCCTCCGTCACTGCAGAGAAGGGCAGTACCACCTGAATAGTTGGAGTTGGCAAATCACCTGCATATACACTTATTTTTTTATTAGCCAAATAAAATCTTAATTGACAACAAGCACAGTACCATTAGAATCAGAAATGCCATAATCATGCCTTGGCTGCTCCTTCGATGTGAATAAATCAAACTTTGAGAACAACATGAATATAATATGGTTACCTACCTTTTTTCGAGGCCAAGTTATACTGGCCGCCGCAGCTGCCGTTCTCCTTCTTAGGAAGGTTGAACCCAGTATCACACTGCAAACCACTCAATTCCCCTAATCAAACACCATACGCCACCAACATCAGATAAAAATCTTTAGAGAAGGGGAGGAACATCACCTGAACTCCTGAACATGACAAGGTCATCCATCGTGTAGATGCGCTAGATCCGGCAACATCGCCATATACTGCAAGTACCAAGTAGAGAGGGCGGGGCCATGGCGGTGTCCAAGCAATGTGCCATCACCACCGACCTTGCATTCACACGCAAGCACCACCTCCTCTACCTGACGTGGCGGCGTGCACTGTGGGAGTCGAACTCATGAGGTGCCTGAGGTGTTGAGGGATGGCCTTGGTTCCTCCTCCACCTGACGTGACGTGGTACCGTAGGCGGTGGGACAGCTGTAGCAGTGCATATACACTGGATCTCCTCTTCTCCACTGCCCGACGACGGCAGTGAGGCGAAGACTTTGATCCAAGGACGACGGCTCTCGATCCAAATCCAACAGCGCCTGCGTGCAGGGAAGGGGAGCTGGCGACGGACGCCGCTGCGGGATACGGGTGGTGGAAGGCGACAACGGCGGGGGAAGGGCGAGGGCATGAGGGGCTGAGGGGATGATATACTTGCCTTGGCAGTTATTGCGACGATGCGGGGATTGCGCCATCAAGGAGGCGAGATTGACGATGGCGATGGGGATGAGAATGGGGATGGGGCTTTGGGTGGATGATGCAGCGATGGATTTCTGGCCGATGATTTCACCGAGCCGATTGACGGATGGAGAAGTGGTGGATCGAGGCGGAGCGAGTAGAAGCGGCGCGTGTTGGCGGCGGCGGCGGCGACGCCGGAAGGGGACGACCCTCCGAAGGCGGCGAACGGGGAATGCGAGGAGGAAGAGGGCGGAGGAGGAGGAGCGCCGGCGGGAGCAGCGGTGGGGCGAGGAGAATCGGCGCGTGATGGCAGCGGCAGCAAAAGCGCTGGGGAGGAGCGCGAGTCCCGCGTGTTCAGCGCACGCTCATCGCGCGAGGAGGAGGAAGCGGACGGATAGGAGAGATGGCGGACGGACGATCTGGATCAGGAGAGACGCAGATGAACGGTAGTGATTGATTCGGATGATTTCACCAGTAGGATTGGAGGGGGCAACTCCTCTTTTTTATATTAGTATAGATATAGAAGTATAGATGTGCAATACTGTGATCACTTAGCTACCGTGGAGAGAAATGGATATTTTGTTAAAAAGTAAGAGAAGTTCTACACATGATTAAGCATTAATCATTATAAACTTGAAAAAAGAGATTAATTTGATTTGTTCAAACATCTTCTATATAAAACTTTTTTTACTAGAAAAAACACACCATTTAGTAGTTTAAAAGTGTGCTAATGAAAAACAAGTAAGTTAAAGTTTGGATTCGAAGGAAAAAATTCGAAATTAATCTTTTTTTTAAGTTTATAACGATTAATGATTAATTAATAATATGTTAATGAGTTTTATCCTTTTATGCGTACGATGAATCTTTCTTCAAACTCGCTAGAAGAAAGCAGTCTTACTACAACATACTCTATATATCGAACATATTATTTTCAAAATTTTCTAAAGCACACAAAATATAATCTGAAAGGGGTTGTAAAACCAGCTCTCTCATTGTGAGATATTTGTACGCAAAAGGCCAGATATTTTAGCGGCGAAGGAGATCTTTCCCGCTACAGGGCAAAAGCTAAAGCGCCTAACAATGTACTTGAGCCTCGCGTTCTCTTGTCCCATAGCGAAGAAAACAGAGGCGGCTGGCAAGAAAAATGAAAAAATAACAAAAAAAAAGAGGGAAAAAAATCAAGGCAGAAGAATACTCATCCAATCCAACCACACGCCCCGGCCAGCTCGTCGTCGCCACCTCACCACCACACACGCGCAGCCAAGCCCCTCACCTCACCTCACCTCTCCATCCACGATAATATCATGATCCATCCTTATATATGCCTCCTTCGCAAACTCACTTCGGATTCTCTTCTCTTTCTTTCATCAGCTATCACAATTCACAAGTGTAGACTGTAGGATGGCCACGCTCTCTTCCTGCAGCCGCCTGAGCACCGGCGGCGGCGCCGTCCAGCGCCGTCCCCGGCGGCCGGCAAGCGCTGCGACCATCACCTGCCACCGGAGCTCCTCCTCCTCCTCGTCGGCCAGGGTAGTCCGCACAGGCGCCGCCGCGGCGCCTGCCGCGGCCACGGCGCCCGCCGTGCCGCAGACCAACGAGTGAGTAACTCACAAACTGAGCTCTCCCCTTTAATTTGTGGCTGATGAAAAAGTTGTGTTGATTTAAAAAAAAAAATTGGTTGTTGCAGGTGCTCGCTTCCGACATGGGCGGAGTTCGAGCTGGGCAAGGCGCCGGTCTACTGGAAGACCATGAACGGTCTTCCTCCATCGGCTGTAAGTTTAATTTCTTCACAAAAAGAAATACTTTCACTCATCATACATGTAACAACTACTCCTTCTGATTTATATTATAAATCATTTTGATTTTTTTTTCCTAATCATTTTTTTAAAAAAATTTGACTATGTTTTTTTAAAATAATTACCAACATGTACACCGAATTAGTTTCATTAAAATTAACATTTGATATATTTTGATAATATGTTTGTTTTGGGTTAAGAATTTTGTTATATTTTCAAACTTTAAAAAATAATAAGAAAAAGAAAGTCAAAAGCAACTTATAATATGGAACAGCGGTAGTACTAGCAACCTGGCAGATTCATCATGGAAATAGTAGCTAATTAAGCTGCCGCTGTGTTCTTACCAGGGAGAGGGCCTGATCCTTTTCTACAACCCGGCAGCGACCAAGATGACCCCCAACGCTCAGTTTGGCATCGCGTTTAATGGTAATTGAGCACCCTCTTAATTCTCCTTTTCACCCACCCAGTGTCCGGGAAAAATTCAGGCTACAAATTGGTTTGATCTGAATCTGATTCAGGAGTTGATAACTGAGACTTTATTTGCTGCAGGTGGTTTTAACCAGCCGATCATGTGCGGTGGTGAGCCGAGGCAGATGACGCTGCAAGAGAGGGGATCAGCTGATCCTCCCATATACACCATCAGGATACGTGTGCCGCAGCATGGTCAGCAGCTGATTGTTTTGTTTCGTTGAAGATATGAATGATTCGCCTGCAATTTCTCATTAACTTAAATTAAGCTTTTGCATCATGCTGACACCATATGTTCAAGTGATCGTTACTAGTACTGTATGTATGTAATAGCATGTTGTCATCTGAGTGGCCATGGATTCGTTACTAGTACTGTATGTATGTAATAGCATGTTGTCATCGGAGTGAGATTTTGTCTGGTTGGTTTTGCACTCGCAGCCATGACCCTCGTCTTCTCCTTCACAAACGGGGTGGATTGGGATGGACCGTACACCCTCAAGTTCAGGGTCCCCAAGCCATGGCTCAACAAGCCCTTGAGCTTCTTCAACGAGGTAAAATTTTGCTCCGAGTTCGTGTTGTTTTCAATCAAACAAGCTTGATTTGTACCTTGAATCCAATTTTATTGTTAATTACCATTTCTTGATAGCTTATGCACTGGAAAAGTTGAAACTCCTCTTTGGATCAGTGTTAACTTTTAGAATGCACCTTTTGTGCTAATAAAGAGAGTTATTTTAAAAATTATCTGTGACGACGATGCAGGGTCTAGCAGACGAACTGAACAGAGAAGGGGCATGCGACAGAGCCATCTTCCCAGACGAAAACGTTGTCATCACAAGCTGCGAGATGGGCAGCTACTACGAAGAGGGGGTAAAACTTTTAACCTTTATCTCAAATTCATGATTAATCCTAGCCAGTTCTGAACCGTTGCTGCATCCCCTGGCACTGGCAGGGAGATCGCTGCAAGCTGGACATTGTGTCAGGGTGCATGGATCCAAACTCGCACATGTTTGATCCACTCGCCACCGTGGATGACGGATCATGCCCAATGGATTCCGATTCCGAGGAATGAACTGAACTACAGTCTCAGCGAGTTTTATTAGCAAGGAGAAGCTGTAATTAGTGGCCACTGTTGTTCAATGTAAAAAGAAAGAAGCGACACGGTATGATGTACAAGAAAGCACAGATGTGTGATAGAATGGTATTAGGGAATGATGTGTGCTGCATTTGGTGAAAAGAATACACAACTGTAGGCCTCATACAAATGTGGTTGTTAATTTGTGACAGAACTACTCTGAATTTAATAGAGATCAACCTATACAAATACCATCAAAGAAAGTGTCGGCACGTGACCAAAAGTTCCAAAAACACGGGATAACTCCTGATTAAACAAGGAGAAAAAAAAATTATTTTCTGATTTATCTATATAGCCTTCAGTTCAGAGTTTGATACTTATACTGGAAAAGTGGAAATGGACCCAGAACACGAATCAACCGGAATTTAAGTTCAGTTCCAGCACAATTCCAGGCATCCGCCCGTTTGTCTGATGTCTACGTACTGCAAAAATGTCGCTCATGTCTGCTAGACGACTACCAAATTAGGCCAAGAAAAAAAAAACCAAGCATTAAGCCTTGAACATTCACAGGACAAAGTCTGCAAATGGTCCAAGCAAACTGATGCAACCATGCAAATTTCAGTCACAGTTACACTGCGGAAAGAAGGCATACATGTCAAGGCAACATGGCATGCCATCATCACGCCAGTTCACTGATACAGCATCCAGTCATAATGGAGTTGCACAGACCATATTACTACAAGGGCAAAGTCAACTTGCAGCACATTGCTGTTCGTTTTGAGTAGCCTCAGTCACAGCTTAGCCGCCTCCAACCTGGCGTTTCCAGGAGTCCTCCACAATAAGCTCGTCAACGCCCCAGTCCTCATAGCTATATTTGAACACACAGTAAACTATTATAATGAGGTTACAAAATCAGGAAACACATAAATGTCTTTTATTCAAATCTCACCTTCCGTCAGGTAAGTACCGCCTAATTGTGAATGGGATCTTGCGTGCTCTCAGCTCTTTCATGGCAATCTAATTTGCACAAAGACAATAGTTTAGCATAGCAAGTAATTTGAAAGATAGAATAAAATCAACTGACAATTTCTGACAGAAAGAGAGAAGAAATCTAAGTAGTATTTATAATGAGTTGTTGATAAGTGCAGTCAACATTCATCTCATCTTGGTTTTGTGGGAGTACTCTACCAAAATATTTCAGTTACCATGCCTAAAACATACCAAAATAATTTTTTATCCGGGAAAAGCAATCTAAGACCCTTGTGGAATTCTAAAAACATGTGAAAATTTTTCATGACATGGAGGAAGAGGGACACGTGTAAACATACAAAATTTTAAGATTGAGAACAATATGGGAGTCAACAAAAATTGTATTCATATTCCGGAAGAATTGATTTCTTCTATCTCTTCCTTTTCTCTGTCCATCATGATAACAAAGTTTGGCATGAACAAAGAAAACCCGGCACCTGCCTTTTCCTTTTCCTAGAATTTTTAAAACCTCCGGTTAACTCTTCCGATTTAGATATAATAAACCTTCTAGAAGTTGGAATAAGGATGGAACTAATGCGTATGAAAGTCCCACTTCAGGGATAGCAGTGGCATATTTACCAGCCAGCAGCCATATAATATATCAAGTGTTACAACAAAACCAATCTTTGGTATTGGACTATCAAACACTAAAACATAATACAGAATTAATCAATTGCCACTTGTTCTCCACATAAACTAGATCAATTTCATGATATTTGAAATGCCATGAAAAACAATGTATAAGAGCCCTGACTAATAACTTCTGTCTGGGTAGAAGAACTAATTCAAATAGACAAGTCAGGGTGCTTGTCAACATTTGTCCTATCTGTTTTTATATTGTGGAAACAAATCACAGAATCACAAGGCTACCAAATAATAGTATCTAGAGCCTTGATGAAAGAAATATGTGTACAAATACAACCTTGTGCATACTAGTATAATTGCAGACGAAAACTTATTGTCAGTCACATATTTAGATTTCAAGCTGACTCGGCGTGGCAGCCCTCCATGACGAAAAAAAGACATTCTATTGATTGAATTGCTGGCCTATGTCTATACACAATTACATACAGCTATCAAACATGTGTACTTTGTTGAATTATATATTCAAACGTTAATTTTATTAATTAGTTGGCAGTCAGGTGTTGTATGCCTAAACAAGAAAATTCCATTGTTCATTTTCATTCTTCATGATGGAAACAGATGTTTATTGTAAAAGGTTATTTAAGTTGTACAATATAAGCTTGGTATATGGAACTGGCAAAAATCAAAATAATGAATATGTAGAGGTTATCGCTTGTTTGAACAAATACCTATTGCATGTATAGTTTGGAAAAATAGAATTTACCTCAAGAGGATCAGTTTCTCCCTCAAGCTCAACCATAACTGGAGCATTCATGCTATAAAACAACAGCAAGGGTTATTAATACTGTATGGTAAACTATTAGCCATCAAATTGGCAATACTGTGCAATATGATATATAGAAACATACCTTATCTGTAATGCACGTGTACCCAGGATGCGGGCACGCTCATACTTTGTCATATACTTTGACGTTTTGCGTGGGCGCTGAGTTTTTTCTTGTTCCTTATCTTCAGCCTCTGCCCCTACAACCTCATCAGGGCCATCCTCGTTATTCTCAGGTTCCTCTTCAGCCCCTTCCTATTATTGAACAGAACTCCATCAGTTCTTTTCCATTAACAGATAACATCACTGCATGAGGATAGCAATGTGTGTACCTCAATCTCAGGTTCTGGTGGCTCATCCTCATACCTGCAGAGGAAAATACAATGCCATTCCAAAATCAATATCCAACAAAACAATCCTTTAAAATGACATATAACAATCAGTGCTTCAGCAATCATATAGTTGTGCAAGGATAATGGTAGATATCTCACTAGGATGAAATGTAAAAGAAATTCAAAATTTTCACTTCTACCAACACTAATGAACATAACTTTGGTCTGTGTAATTTAGTAATTACACTAAAATTGAATATTCCTGAGAAAATGGACATATAACTAACTAATTCATATGTTTTAACCGCCAAGCCACCACAGTAAATTAAGCAGAAAAGAATGAAACCACACATTCTTGTTCCAATTAGAAGCAAGATGTTAGAGATCCTCTAAGTTTTTAGCTAGCGTGACAAAGTTAGGATTCCATATTAGTACAATGACCATCTATCTTAATATGTAATAGATTTTTTCCATTTTTATCTTTCATTTTTCTCCTTGTTTTCCTTATATGCATATATATTTTTCCCCTTTCTTTATACTGCTGCATAAATGATTTGCACCAAGCCTCCTATTACATCAATTGCATAGCTCCCCTGACCTATATCGGTCTAGCCAATCCCTTCATGTCCATGTCACCATAGAAAGGAGCAAGCAGGAGGTACGCATGAGAACCCCCCATCCCCGACTGCGTTCAATGTTCTTTTCTCTCAAACAAAGCGGTATAGAATCATCAATGAAAATTCCCATAATTGGTGAGCGGGATTGTCGCATTAACCCAATTGATTCATCCAAGCAAACCTAAATTTCAAAGAACCTGCTAAACCTAACCATAACCAAACAAGCAGGGAAACAGAATATCACTCTTTACAGTATCCCCTTCTGTTGCTGACAAACTAATCTCAGACAACTTCTAAGAGCCATTACTCGACTCAACGAACGAAACATGCCCTAAGAATAATACTCGACTCAACGATCAAAACATGCCCCAAGAATAAACTCCAAAGACACCTTTTACCCGTGAAGACCAGTACGCATCCAACATTAACACCTCTCGTTTTCCAAAAACCAATCGAGTGAATCGCGGCAATCGCCATAACTAGCTTCGACTCGAATCAACGAACCCACCACCCCAAATGCTCCCCATGGCGATGAGGAGCGCCAACGAATCACCCAGCACAGACTCCTACCGGCGCAACATGTTACACAGAGAGCTGGTTCGACCGGTCTGGGATTAGAAATTTATTAGAACAGGCGATGCCTATCGAAACCCTAGATTGGATTCCCATGATCATACGGAAAAAGGACTAGAGAGAGTGAGATAGTAGAGAGTAAGGCAAACCCCATGTCCATGTCGTTGTAGTCGTCGTCCGCCATGGCTTCCGCCGCCTCTGATTCCGGCCGCTACAATCGCTAGGGTTTCGCCGCACGGCGGCCAAGCGGTGCTCGACAGGGAGAAAGGGGGCAAATGGGACTCTGGGAGAGCGCAACGGACGGCCCACCAGCCCGGGAAAAAGAACGGGGACAATCCCCGGAGAATCGTAGAAGGATCTGGACCGTATGATCCGTATCTGCAGAAATTTCAAAATATGGCATTCAATGCGCCCTGCAGAATTTATCAGTCTATCCGTTGTTTTCAGACTATGACATTAGGAATTTAGGATACGAATTTTTTTCGTTCTACGCCACTTTGTCCGCCAGCGTCGGTTGCGTCGTCCTAGTCCACCAACCGCGCTCGCGTAAGCCACAAGTCATTGTTCGTCTGTTCACCACTCGTATCAGTCGAGTCACCCTCTGTCCGCTGGCGTCATCGTTGTCGACATCCATCATCTGCATCGCCATCCATCTGTGGCACCGTCATCGTCTGTTTGCCACCATCACTGTGTCGCTATAGTCCATCCATCTGTGGCACCGTCATCGTCTGTTTGCCACCATCACTGTGTCGCTATAGTCCTCTGCAACGCCAGTTGTGCCAGGACACCATCGTCCTCTTCCTGCTACATTGCGGGCCTACCTCGAACCAAAACCTACGTGCGCTTTTGCCGTCGTTTGCCTATGATGGATTTTGGCATCCATCCGGACCTGGATTGGTTGATTCATCAACTGATGACGTCATCTTACATGCTTAGTTTGCTTGGATTGCTTCTCTTTCTTATCTCGCCCCTTTATATTTCCCTCTTTAACTTTTTCCTTGCTAATCAAATTTGGACAACGCCGGCAGCACCGACGGATGAACGACGGCAACACCGGGCGGATTAACAAGGATGGGGCAACCTATGCTGGTAGATGGAGTGGCACATAATGAAGAAAATTCGCAGCCTAGTGTTGTATTCTAAAAGAAAAGTAAATTGGGTGGCAAATTCTAAAAGAAGTGTGTATTGGTGATGAATTCTAAAACTTTGTTTGTTGGATTTAAGCTCAGTTCTAGTGAGCAGTACTCCCCTTTCTCCGAAATATAGATATTTCTAGATAATTTTGGAGGGATTAAGGAGTGAAGGCGAAAAAATCATAGCACCCTTCAGAGTTGTTCGGAGAATCAACATGCTGCAGCGCTGCACCTACAACTACAGCCAGGGGCGGATCTATAGTACTAGGACCGGTGTCAGGCGACACCGACGATTTTCGGCAAAACCTATAGCAAAACTGCTTATTCATATGTTATAACACTGTGATCTAAATATAATTAGTATACTATGACACCGATAGACACGTTATGACACCAATGAATCGATTTTCTGGATCCGCTACTAACTACAGCGGCTACAGGAGGATGGGCTGTTCCCTGCTGCAACAAAATAGTTGGGCTTTGCAACACAGCCCAAACCGCTACATCATGGGATACTAAACAACCCCTTCATTGATGCACGTAGGACTTATAGTCTACAGAAAATAGGGTGGTTGATGGGTTAAAAGAGAGCTATAAATAGTTATATATGGGGTAAATTTGAATCCTAAAAATTAGTTATATATTAAGATGGAGGGAGTAGCAGTTACCTTTAATTTCCACTTGCATGTAAAATGAGGTAAGCCATTAGCTTATGATTAATTGAATATTGATTACTACAAACTTAAAAATTGTGTTTATTTGAATTTTTTTAAAAAAACTATTATATAGAAAAGATTTATTTGAAAATGTGCTTAAAAAAGAGAAAGTTACAACTGCTAAACAAGAAAACAAACAACGCGTTAGGGTTTTTAGTTAATTTGTAGTGATTTAGAATTTTATATTTTCACAAACAAAATAATTCATTCAAATTAATATTATGAATGTAAACACAAATCTAGATATAGATTTATAAATCTAAGAATATCCAACTTCAATAATATTGGCTAGAGCTGTTTCAAATAGGGACAATGTGGGTAGAATTTTGTTCGTCAATTCGTTCCATTAAAAAAATAAAAAAAATTCTTTGTTAATTTCCTCTAGGTTTGCTAAATGATTCCTTACCGTTGTCTATTTAATTAGTGTTTTTTACTGGCTCTGTTATTTTAGCATTTTAATCTCTATTTTATTTCCTGAACGTATTTATATCCGAATCTAATGTGCAAACATACTCGAACACATTCAAATCGGGCTCGGCTTTAATTTTTAGTGTAAAACGATTTACGTATGAAAACTTGGTATATATTAACTTTTCCTAAAAAGACGATTCTAGACCACGCTTGCACAAACAGCCCATTTCAATTTGGTTCTAACATTTACATGAAAATTTAAACAAATGTGGGTTAAAAAATACGGTTTGCTGAGATGAAAAACGCGCCTAGCTAGGTTGGTACATGGGTTGATTTGAGTTTCAAAATTATTATGGCACGTGACGCATGGGTTGATTTTGAGTCCAACTCCATATCTATACATAGTTACAAGCCTACAACGTGTTCACAGGCCTATTCAGAAGTCTTCCTGGATAACAGTACGTGAGCTGGTTGCGTATTTGTAGACAGCTAACGAGCATGTATTAGACGTACCTTTTTTTTTTTTCTTGAATACCCAAAAGATCCGTTTATCATTATATTAAAATAAGAGAGGGTATAACCCCGAGTACAAAACAAGATACACCCTTATTAAATTATAACAACCATATGTGCCACAAGCTCGACAATGAACACAACTAAAAAACGGCCACAACCACAAACCCGACTATAAAACTAACCACCCGGCTCTCGAGCAAGCTATAAGAATAGCTCCAAGGCCCAGCCAAACAACACAGCCATTCTTTTGCCTTGGCAACAAAGACCACCTGCTAAGTTAGCAGCAACCCCCTAAATGACACATTAATTTCACCAAAATGACTACAAATTGAGCCCGTATTGCACTGGGTCATTAGTTGCCTCATTGGTCTTGTTTCATAACTCCTCCCTTTTTCACCATCAGGCCATTAGAATGACTATAGACGTACCACATTTACACATTTTCTCCTCTTTTAGTATGACAGGCATTTTCCTTGACAATAGGTGCTATTCTCAAACATCGTAAAGATATGGCTCCTAGTTAGGGTGGACAATGGATGAAACTAAATATTATTTGAGGGCACAAATAAATAAATTAAATATTAAAAAGTTGAAAAATGTCCCATAATAAACGTCGATGAAAAAATTTTTTGTGAAAACTGTAAAGCTAGGAACTTGGGAAGTGTGGCGGTATGCCAACCATCTGTTAGCTCACAAGAACGGGGCCTCTGTTGCCGGATTTGGATTTTACCATAGCTACTAGTCCTGCTTAGAATGATTCTAAACTTGAATTTAATATTTGAAATTCAAATTTGTATTTAAACTCACATCCTTCTTCCCCGTTAACTAGGAGTACTGATTTTTGGAAACTGAATATTGTACCAGTATAAGCAGTAGTGCATTATTACAGTTTTTGGCAGGATTTCTTATATATTTATTTAACAAAGTTCGATAAAAAAAATTAAATGAAAGCACACCTCTAACAAATTTGCCAAGAGTGGTACGGTTTGAAATGACATTGATCTTAACAACCCCGTATTTCTTACTAGGTGATTCTCCGTATTTTGCTGTGGAAATTACTAAGTAATTTTTAGAGTGAAGTGCATGGATAGTCACTAAACTTGAGCAGGTATGTCACTTAGGTCCCTATTTTTGAGTCCCTCAACTTGTCTTAGGTGCCATATAGGTCCAAACGAGCTCTAACCCACTTCGTGAGATGACGTGGCATGCCATGGTGACACTTACGTGTCAGTGCGATCCACATGTCAGTCACATAGAAAAAATAAAATTTAAAAAGAGAGGAGAGAGAGTGAGAGAGAGAGAGAGAGAGGAGAAAATAATGTTTTTAATTTTGAAAAATAAATGAAAAAGGAGAGGAGAAAAAATATGTTCTTAATTTTTTTCTATATGTGATTGATATATGGTTTCTACTGACACGTAGGCACCACCATAGCATATGCCACGTCACCACCATGGCATGCCACGTCAGTACACGGAGCGGGTTGGAGCCCGTTTGGACCTATATGACACATGAGATAAGTTGAGGGACACAAAAATGTATTTTGAGAGTTCTAGGACCTAGATGACACACCCACAGAAGTTTATGGACCTCCAATGCACTTTACTCAATAATCGAGCTAAGAGTGAAACGGATATTAGTTTGCCAAACTGAAAGTGCATCTAGGACCCCTCATTTGTTTTGGTGTTAATGACAACACAATTAGAGGATAACTAATGCTTTTTGTTGAGATGTATGCAAGGATGAAAAAGGAGTGGAACTTAAGCATAGAAAGCTTTGTGGCAATTTGTGTGGTAATCACCTCTCTAAACCTTGTGTATCATGTGTTCTTGAGTATTGGGATGCCATACTATTAAGAGGGATACCACATGCATATAATTGGTAGAACACTAGTGCTCAAAATCCTTTCTTTGAAGTGTTCCTGTTTTATTCCTGTCGGACTATCCGATCTTGATCAGACTATCCGATGCTCAGACTATCCGAAATTTCACAGAACTTTGCCCTCTGTCTTTGGTCTTAGTGTTGGTCATAAAATATCGGACTATCCGATATAAGGTCGGACTATCCGATACATCGGACTATCTGAAATTTCTCAGAACTTCACTCTCGGTTTTGAATTGCTTTTTATTCCTCTTGAGTGAATTTCAAATCAGACTATCCGATGTGATCGGAGTATCCGATGACCCAGAGACTCCAAAACTCAATGGAACTTGAGTCTATGTGAGAGGATGAAATTCATGACTCAAAAATAACGGAATATCCGATATGACATCGGACTATCCGATCGATCGGATTGTCCGAAATTCTCCAGAATTTCGTTCTCTGTCTTTGGCTTGCTGGGGGGGGTCAAAAACATCGGATTATCCGATGTCACCTCGGACTTTCCGAGGTGGGATGAAAAGATTCCCTTCCCAACGGCCACATTTTGGGGGATCTATAAATACCCCCCACCTAACCCTTTTCTAGGGTTACCCAACTCATTCATTCACATTCACTTTAGGGTTGAGCTTGGTGCTAAGGTGCTTTGGATCTTTGAACTC